CTAGTAACGATCTATATCCCAATGACCTTTCTCCACTCCATCCACTAGGTACAGATTTTGTATAATCCATATTTTAGTTACAAAGATTGTTTGTGTAGCTGTGTTGATCTGCAGCTTTAGGTATGAGCAGAACCAACACCAGCATCAGAACTGAGAATCCTTGTTCAAAACGTCTTAGCAATAAAGTTAAAAATAAAAAAAAAGAAAATGCAAGGATGCATAAACAGAATTTTATAAATTCAATCTGCATCCAGTGAAAAGTGTTTGCAAAAAAATAAGAAAACTAATGTATGTTCACCAAGAAAAAACATTTTCCCAAATGTTTACATCGTTTTATCATACCAAATGAAGAAAGTATAATGGACTATCACTTTCTGTTGTCAATAATATGAAAGTGTTAAAAATATCGATTAAGTATAAAATGGGATTAAAGGGGATTAAATACAGAGTGTAATTAAACCAAACTCACAATTAATAACAAAATTCTGTTGGACAGAGTCCAGAGGAAAATCTGATTGAAAATCAGAATCAAATAATGAGAACACCAACTTGAGAGATATAACTAGAACAAAAATGTAAATTAGTAAATGATTATAAAAGTAGAAAAGAGGGAATGACATATATGCAACATACAAAATGGAGCTTCTATCAGTGCATAATTGGTTTTTTCAAGGAAAAAAAATAGAAGAAAAATTGTTAGTCAAAAAACAGTAGAAAAATGACTTCATAGACTAAAAACAAGTGAACTAATCTGATTTTAATTAAAAAATTGGTTTACAGATGAAGCAAAATTCTGACTAAAAAGAAACTGCATATTATGTGTAGGTAAAATATCAAAACATAATGGAGAAAAAACCCAAATTATTCGGATAGCAATCCAGCAAAAAAAAAAAAAAAACCCACATCGCATAAAAAAGAACAAAACACAAAAACCTGAATGATATATATTTTTTTCCCCTGGTTGGAAGGCGGAGGGTTGAGAAGCAAAGCAAATAGTCAAAACCCTCTGAAAAGTTGTTCTGAATTATTAAGTCAAAAAGATAAAAACCAGAGATTCTTTAGCCAATTGAATATTTATCCACAACAAAATCCTACTCAGATGTTCAGGGTTTAAAGATGTTCTGAAATTTTCTTTCTTAGACGGGTATGTGCTCTATATCGTCAAGGGCTGAATATCTTTACTCTCAAATTTTGGATAAATAGAAAGTGGTGAAAGTAATTCTGGATATTGAGGTGAGTGAACAGACCAACCACTGTCAAAAGGAGGATCACAGCTGACCAGTCAGATTTTGGATGCAATTCTGGGATACTGAAATAAAGATGATACTTATTTTCGTTACTGTTCAGAAAATGCTAAGTGATGCAGTAGGAGAAAACATTGATATCAACAGGAAGAAACATATTAAGAGAACAAGCTAAAGCATCATTTAAGCTAGTAGGTAAATTAAATAAGTTGAATGATCAGGAAATAAAAATACCCTGATAAATCTAAACTTGACAAATATTAGACATAGTGCTTTAGAAAATAAAGTACGAATAAAGAAAAAATGAATGGAAATAAAGAAAGAGAGAAAAGGGAATAAAATTTAACAAAAAAGTAATAGCATTTTAAAATATTTTTATGACAATATTTAAATGTTTTAAAATATTGAAAATTTTAAGAACAGGAAATGACATTCATAAAAATACATGGTCCAGTTTCAGAAAACTATACCACCTACTAACAGATACTGAAAATTTGAGTAACTGAAAAATCATGCTGTGGTTCTGGATAATGCACTCTATAAAATAAAGCTTACCTATAAATTAGTAAAATCCCAATATGCAATCTGTTATATTTTTGATTCTTGCAGATTTTTTATGAGCTTAATTGAAGACTTCTGCAAGACATTAAAATGGTTTTTAAAACTATAGCACTTGTGTAGGACTAGACATATAGATTACCAATATAGACTAGAATAGGCGGAAACAATGAAATATGTAGAAATTTATTTTATGGTAAATTACATAAAGTTATTGATAAAATAAATTATGGGGAATAACTGGCTTTCAGAAAAAATTAAAGTCATATTTTATACTTTAGCTTCAGATCATAGACCAAAATACATTTTAGATAGATTAAAATATAATAGTAAAGGGTTACATGACAATATAGATCTATATGTATATAAACTTATTATGGTAAAAGTGTTTTACATCATAACCCACAAACCAGAAGTCATAACACAAAAGTTTGATAGATTTCATTTTTTAAACTAATAAGACTTACCTGTGGCTGAAAAGGCCACAGATAATAGATAAATAATGAGCAATTTTTAAAAATGTTAATCTTTTTGTGAAAAAAGCTGTTAAAAAGTTAAAAAGTTTGATGGGAAAAATGAACAAACTGTATAGACAGGCATTTCAAAATTGATGAATTAATATGGCCAGAAATTTTTAGACATTATTATGCCAACCTGTAATTTAATAAATCCAAAATACTTAAGTGGGATGTCACTTTTTTCATATCAGGTTGGCAAAATAATTTTAACTATAATATCTGATGTTAATACTATATTGGGAAAAAGAATTCCTTAGGTGCAGTGGATGGAGAGTGAATTTGCATTATCAGAATTTCTGCAACATAATTTGGCAATATTTATCAAAAATCTTTATGATCTTTTTATTGTCCGAGCACTCATTCAGTTGTCTAGAACACAAATCACATGGTTATGACCAACAGCAAGGGAGACTGGATAATGCTTAGTTCTGTGCCCTGAAAGCAAAAGAAATAAGTTTGTTATCAGCTAGAAATCTCTTCCCCAGTATACTCTTCTGATCCACATTTTTTTTTGCCACTTTTCCCTTACACAAACCTCTACCACACCCTGTCCAAAGAGACAACCTAATGTCCCATCAAACCAATATATCCAACTCAAATGCCAAGATTCTGAGATATGTGCAATCCTCTTTATGATATTTGGATGCACTAATCCAGGGACAAAAGAACAACAAAAACAAATTATTAATGCTCTTCTCCACCCCATACGTAATACACAATGATAGAACAGAGACAGGAGAAGCATTCCTTAATAATAAATGCTCCTATTTGGAAATAAAGGAAGAATGAGAATCAGAGCAGTCATTGATCCATAGCAATTACAAAAATATGCCAGGCTAGCATTAAAAGGTCCCTCTGCTTGGCTATACTTCTAGTTCCCTGAAGAAACTAGGTTATCCTCTGTTCATTCTTTTTTGCTTTCCACAATTCTACTCTCAGGGTGTTCAATCTTGTCAGTCATTCTCCACGACCACATCTGAAGTAGGTATTGGGGAATATGACCTTCATGAGGCTAGACAGCTTTTGTAGTCAACTTCTTGCTTTCACCACATTTAGCGGTCTAGAGGTTCTTTGAAGTGTCAGTCATGTTTTTCTTCCTGTTTACATCTATGCGTCTTTGACACGAGAGTTTCATTAAAAACACAGTAGGCTCCTAATCAACATTAGATTTATGTTTAAATGACCATACTCCAAAGGCATTATTGCTAAGCCTAATTTATTTCTTTACTTTCTCCCTCCCCTAAATTCTTCTTTTATTTTATTTTTATTTTTTATTTTTTTTTGAAGCTCTTACAACAAGAAAATGGAGGGGACACATCTGGGTGGGAGGGGGGAGAGGGAGGAGGGAGGGAGGTTTTGGTGATGGGACACAATATCTAACTACATTGTATATTGACAAAATAAAAATTAAAAAAAAATAAAAAGATGAGAAAAAAAATTAAATAAATAAATAAATAAAGGTGAACCGTGAATCGTTTTCTACATTTAATAAAAACATTTTCTCATTTGAAAAAAAAATAAATAAATTCTTCTTTTAAATTATACACAGCTATCATGAAGCTATTTACAACAGTGGACTTGGGAGAGTGGGCAGTGCACTCAATTCTGATCTTTGCCACAGAGCTGAGCCTTAGTGGATTTTGTTGCTTAAAGCCCCACACAGTCTTGTCCCTTATTATGAGACTTCTATAAACAGCTAATTTTCCATACTTTTGGGTACTCGATGTGTTGGCTTTCTTTCAGTCTTTTCATTTCTGCTGAAAAACTGGCCACCTTTTACTAGACTCATCTCTTTTCTGTAATATCTTATTAAAGGCAGAATGTAAAAGTATATTATTAAATCTATCTTTTCTCAACTACTTTCTCTAGAGCTACAAGTTCAACAGGCACTTAATCCTCAGTGCTGAGTATTCATCTTCCTCCTCCTGTCAACAACAGTTAACAGAGTTGTAACACCCACTCCCCCGCCGCCAAAATACATGCTTCCCATTAATCAACTACAATGTCCTCTCCAAGATTTCTCCCTGCGTCACTGTTCTCTCCTTCTCTGTCTGCTTTGCTGGAATCCTTCCTCTTCCTGGACTTTAAATATGGGAGTTTCCCAGTGGTCAGTTTTCAGACCTCTTCTCTCTGTCTAGGTTCCGTGGGAAAATCCATCAATTTTCATAGCTTTAAATTAATATTTACACAATGACAAATGCCAAATTGTCATCTTCAGCCCCAGCCTTTTCCATGACATAATTTTATTTAAAGAATGATATAGTTGGGTTTGTCACACCAAATATATATATGTGTGTATATATATGTGTGTGATGTATATATATTTGTGTATGTAGATACACACACATATTTTCAGATGAAGGGGAGAAAGAAGAAAAAGCATAGAACTATACAAAAATCACATATGTGTATTTGTTTATTCAGTCTTTCCCTTAAAATGTAAGCTCAATGGCATCGGCATTGACATGTTCCATGTTATATCTCCAGATATCTTGCATGTTATAGGCACACAATAAATATTTGTTGACTGGATTATTGATATTTATTGTGTGCCAAGTTAATGTGATATTATTTTAATAGAAATGTGCCAGTTTTCAAAATGACTCATTCTAATGCAAATATGTATTTTATGACTAAATAACTCTCCAACTAAAGCAAATTTTTTCTTTTTTCACCCCAGATCCCAATGCTCTGGCTGGCCAGACTGGCCCTGACCATGCACTTATAGGAGGAATAGTGGCTGTAGTTGTGTTTGTCACACTGTGCTCTATATTTCTGCTTGGTCGATATCTGGCAAGACATAAAGGTAGGTTATATTTAATGAAAGTACTCTTCACTGTGCCAAAAATTTCTAAAGACAAGTTTCATCATAAGCTATAATATGAGTGTGTGTATGTCTCTGTGTGGGGGGCAGGGGGAGGAAAGAGAAAGAGAGAGAGATCTAAATACTATATTTCAAAAAAGTCTTGATTATTTTACTCAGCTTTAGAGTTGAATTGGCCAAAGGTTATAGAGTGAGCCACTGGCTCAGAAAAAAAAAAAAAGAAGAAGAAGAAGAAAGATTATAGTTTATTTCTACAACTAAAATCCGACTATGAGCATTTAGTCAATGTTTTTGTTTGTAAGTTTTTGGAAACACATGGAGCATTATTAAGGAGAAGATATGATGGTTTTTCAATGGGCCATGTATCAAAGTATTGATATAACCTACTATAAAACAGAGTTACCGAAATGAATGGTGATACACTTCACGTGATCATTGTCAACATCTTAACAAAGGACCCTGATTGCTACAGCTGCATGGCTCCCATGGTCTTTATCCATCGTTAAAGATATCAAAATTACTCATTAGCCATTCCAGTCGGGCTCTTGCCCCTAGTTAACTAGTCCTCAGATTCTTCTGCAACATAGACGTGAAAACTGAAAGGCTACAATCTTAGAAGGGTGAATTGTGTGGCTTATTACATCTCTGAATACATTCTAGCATATAGGAAATCTGGCATAAGTTGCTTCTTAAATGAATTTAGCCTTAACGCTGGCTATTTTACTAGTCTTGTAGAACTAACATATTTTTTTCTTCCTATATCCACAGGAACATATTTAACAAATGAAGCTAAAGGAGCGGAAGATGCACCAGACGCTGACACAGCTATTATCAATGCTGAAGGCAGCCAAGTCAATGCTGAAGAGAAAAAAGAGTATTTCATTTAAAATGCAGGCCAAGATTCTGCGTTTTACTTACAAGGCTGGCTGCTGGAGAAAACTGGCTCTCATCTTTCAGAATTCATTTCTACCATCTTCTGCTACCTTTATTAACTTCCATACCGTACTGCTATCAGTAGCCAGTGTGTACCAACAATCAGCTGTCGAAAACATCATTCTTTAATTACTGTACCATCCATAATGCAGGACATTTCTTACTGCCTAAATTTCACACCATTGCTCTTTTAACATACAGTGCTTGAATATACAGCCTTAACAATGTTAATCATCTCCTTGGAACATGATATTGAGTTGTTTTTATACATTGAAAAAAGTGTATGCAGAATTCCGCCCCCACCACCACCACGACCCCAATTTTTTTTTTTTCCCCGAAATCATAGATCTTATTGGTTGGCCATTGGACAGATTTCATAAGTAACAGGATTAGGTACAAACCTAATGTGCTTAAGTTCAATCGAAGATTAGAGGTTTACAAATAATGTTTTCTACATGTCTATCTGGAAAGAACATGTTTTGGAAACATATGCCCTGGAAAACATAAACTGAAAACACTGTAGTGTAGTTTTTGGAATGTTTGAGATACTGGTAAAGCTGTATCAATTTGCTATTTAAAAATATAGTATTTGATACAGGAGCCATGTGTATGGATTGCAATCATGACATGACATCCTATATAATTATATATAGATCCTACCATTAGGATATTGTAGCTTCATTTACCAATAAATTATTCTAAATATTTTATTGTTTTGGGAATCACAAAGATTTCATTCATTTCTCTAATTTGATTCTATAATTTATTTGCTCCATAAAGACTCACCTGCCTAAACAAAATTGAAGTATCCATAGGGCACAATTTTGAGACATTTTAGTATCTGTATATAGTGCATATAATAAATCCAATTAAACATTATTTGATACATATTTAACTTTTTGGCTGTATGTAATTCAGTCATAAGTAAGCATTTTCTAACGTCCATTATATCCCTTTAGATATTACTTAAACCAATATTATAAGTAGATAACATGTATTAGTATTTTTGTCTGTATGTCCTAGCACTGTTCAACAACAAATTTTTCTAGTTCTTGTTAATTTTTATTTGTTATACAATGGAAGCACAATGTTATAAGGAAAGGTAATTTTAAGCTAACAACCAGTGCACAGCCTCAGGTTTTAAATCACATCCACAGTTGAATAATAACCTAAAAATAAACTCTTAGTTTGCTAAAACTTTACACATTTTAATTTGGCAGTTCCAGAGCTGCTTACCTATGTTGGTTTGCCAAAAAGGAGTGTTTAAGATATGTTTTCTGTATAAATGAACTAATTCTTTATATTAAATTCCTGTCTATGCATTTTGTGAGGTACAAACTTATGAAACAGTGAGTGATAGAAAATTTCTGCCATGTTTTCAACTCCAAGGTGAAAGTTTCCTTCTCTGGATTAGTTTGAAATTTTGGTGTATTCAACCATTAAGAAATGCTGTATTCTTAAATATGACACAGAGTCAATCTAAAGTCTCATTATTTCTTCTAGTAAAATATAATATTGCTAGATTAGTTCTCATGAAATTTATTATGTGCTAAAGAATATAAATCCAGTTAGATAAAAAATTATTTTCCCATTTACAAGCATTGCACCTTTAAGAAGAAAACAAATATGCTGATATGGTAGCTATACTTGTGATGTCTGACAGCACGATGGCCTACGGTTTTAAAAATAGTATCTTGGAATAATTTGTTGTTGGGGAATGTGAATGGCTGAGTACAACATCATGTATTAATATCAAATGAAAGACAAGGGTGCTGTATCTTAGATTATTTATCAGAAAAATACAAATCTTTTGAGGACAATGTTAGAACTTTTAAGTTTTTTTTTATTGTTGAAGCATTTATCTTGTTGATTTCTTACAAAAGAAAAGGACAATGTCAGTCAAGCAGCACTTTTTCAGAATATACAGAACATAAATAATATGATGTGGTTGAGTGTTAACATAATAAATCATATACAGTATGACATTTTAAGGAAATAAGTCTGCATTGATGTGATTGCATGCTTGTTTTTACAGTTCACTCCATAACATCTGTGGAAAAATGCAATAATATGTTAAATATAGTACGGTAGTTTGAGAGAATCAGGTAGGTGCTACTAGACACATTGAAACTAGAATAGGTTTATAAATTGTTCATATCTTTCAATGCATAACTTTTAGAAAGACTCCACAAAGCAAAATGCATTCTGTTAGTACAAAGTAGAAAGGTTCTTATTACAGAAGTAAGTTGTATAAATTGCATCATTAATTACTATTTAAAGCCTAATTTCAGGATGCACTTACAAAATTGCTACTCTTCGTTGATGCTATATTTACATCCCTCTTCATTTCATCTATATTCTACTTAGTTCCAACTGCTAAATTGTTACCTAAATAACTCAATCATTATTTATAGCGCTTTAAAATTAGAAATCCAAAATTGGTTGCATTTCAAGATTTTTGACACATTTAACACTTCAGAGTAACATAAAATCTCATTTGAACTCTTAAAAATGCAGTTACATAAAACAACCGGATTATTGTAACAGTTATAATAACTGGCATATTATAATTTGCGGTCTCAAATGTTTGCCAGAAAAATAGAGCGCAATTTGAATAAGATGTTTTCTGTGACTAGGAAAAAAAAGCTTGCAATGGAGTTATATTTTCTTATCTTTAAAAATTATCTGATTTTCACCAAACAAAAAAATAAATTATAAAAAATTCTACCAATTTCTTTCCCAACAAATCAGAAAAAAGATGACACGATATTTCTAAATGGGAACCATGACAATTGCAGTGTCTGAAATGAGCACACGTGTATGCACATAGAGCCAATTTCTTACTCTTCTAAGTGAGCACGGTAGATACAGAACTCAATGGAAAGAGTGTCTACACACACACACACACACACACACACACACACACACACAACCCTAGTAGAATATGGAGCATTATTCTTTACCAAAAATAGCTATTCTCTGCCAGTATACTGTTTACGGTGTAAATTGATGTCCTCCATCCAAAAAACGTCTAAACAGCATTCTTCTTTTCCTTTTTTTTTTTTTCATTTTTAGTGTCCTAGATAGCATGATTGTCAAAATTAGGAAGAAAAAGAAAAGTTTGTGAGTCCAAGAGCAAAGACACAGAACATGAGCAGAGTATTGATGGTGTGTGTGTATGTTTGTGTGTGTGAACAGGTGTGTGAAAAAGAGAGGAAGAGAGATGGAAAAGAGAGAGAAAAAGAAAGATTTCAACTTGTTTTCTTTTACCAGAGAATCCAAGGAACAGTTTAAGGACCCTGATATTGGAGTTTAATCTAGAAACTGGATGATCTCATATTGATTCAAGATGCTTAATTTTTCATTAAAATCCCACAATTACAGTGACAAATAGAGAACAGAAACTAATTTGCTTAAATATGGCAAAGAAGCTAACACCTCATTTATTTTTATTTCTTTGTAAAAATATAAATATCTCAGTTAAAATGACAGGCTTACTTGTAATTATGTACTCATGATTGTAACAGCATTGAGATTCCATATAGGCACATGTACAGCAGCTGTTTGACAGTGATGGCTCTTCCATGTTACATAACAGTTATCGTGTAATTTAGTGCCACTTATTGCAAAGTGTTACACAAAGGAACACTTAAAATGTTTTTCCTTTTTCTTTGGACATAGGATAATTTAATGGTAACAAATATAAAATTTCACATTTTGTTTCTTAAATGTGGAGAAATGCAGAACCTCATATCTTTCTGCAACTTCCCCAGGATATTGCTAATCATTTAGAGCCCTCTGAAAATGCCCCAAATTATTCCCCTTTGTAAATGGTAATCTGTGATGAATGTACAAACAAAACAAAGTAAAGCAAAACAAGATAACCAGTAATCACCACTGACATAAATGAAACACCTAATGAGAATTACTGATGAGTAATGCTTTTTATTAAGTGGCACAAAGTACACACTAAAAACTATGCAAAATATAGGTAACTACAGTGTACGTACATGTAAGTATCTTGTACTTGCTGTGTATGGATGTTGAAAACCCATGTAATTATAATATGCATTTTGAATATTGGGAAAGAGGAAATCAAACTGTAGATAGTAGAATTTGTTTTGAAATACACACTGGCAATATTGAAATATACTCAGTGCAATATCTGCAATTCTATTGCTGGATACTTAATGCAAAGGGATTTTAGATAACTATTCGTTGAGATTGAAGAGGTAGCTAATCTTCACTTCTCACACACTAGAGCATTAATTAAAAATACAACTAACTCAATGACAAGTTATGTTTTTCTTAAGCATGAACATGACACAATAAAATTATTATTTGGATTAGTTTTTAAGTGTTGCTACAGAGAATGAAATAACATGAATTTTAAACTTTGATTCTTTGAATTTGGAACTCAAACTTTCTTTGAAATGTGTGTATGTTTTCATAGATTGCAGTACTTTTATTATAAGTACAAATTTATTGAATCCAAGAACATAGGGTACTTTAATAGTTAAAGTCAGTATATCTTAATGAGAATTTTTTATATCTTTTCCTTTTCCATTCATTTCTTCCCTTTCTCTCTCTATCCCAGACATGCCCTTTGCACTTATACCCTTCCAAAGGCAATGGATTGAAAGTAGCAAGATAATAAAGGGGACAACATATAAAAATGGGTTCTAAAATCATCAGCATTTTTATGTATTGAGATTATTAATATTGAATGCAATAGTTGTTGGATATAGCTGGTAAGTTCTCTGCCATGCATACTTACAATAATTCTTCTACCTCTCACTTTTAACATGGGCTATGATACTTCAATATAAATAGAAGAAATAATTATTTACAAGATATCCCAGGAAGCATTCTTTTGGGACTATCATAACAGTGCACTCCCTATCCCCTGGGAAATCTCAAAAGCCAAGTTCTTTTAGTGTGTTCTATGGTGTATGAATCTACGTATATTTTTCCTTTTCTATCATTGACTTTTCCTATAGGTAAAATATGATAACTTTATAAGGATAGTTCTTCTCATGAGTATCTAATATTTCAATGTAAAATAATTGTGTTGATTTAAAATATATGTATTTAAATGGCAACACTTTGCAATCAAATCTATTTTGTTTAATTTCTAAAATATAATGCTTTCTTGTAAATTAATGCTCTTTTAAGTAAAAATCATTAATATGGTTTATTTCCCTGAGAAGTATTATCTGTACAAGACAAAAACTTAAGTATTTTAAAATTGCTCCTTATTAACAAATAATCCCTGAATAATGCAAAGTATTGCCACATATGTTCACTTTATTTTGTCCGCATAGACATAATACAAAGTTTTGAATTATGGTATTTAACTATCCTAAAAGAAAACTCCATTTTATGGGCAGATTTTTCTCCAGAAAAAAAGATACATGAATATCTCAAATTATGATGGTGAATCTATAAAATATGTTTAAAGTTAAACAAAGGTGTTTTTATGTTGTATGGTTATGTTACAAACAATATTTGTTCTAATCTTTATCATCTTTTCCATATATATATAACAAGAAATGTATAATTATTTTGGAGAGAATGGGCCCAAATGTGAAAAAGATGTAAAGAAAAAACCCACTATTTTCCCCTAGGAAATACACTGTATATTTCAAAGGAAAAAAAGTTACAAGATATTTGAAGATTGCAGGGGCAAAAGAAACTCTACCAGGGCTCAGCACTAAAGCACTTTTCCCACATCCAGGGTCAAAACAGCAGTGATTCCTACATGGACTTTTAAGTGCGGTATGAAATGCAACATTACACTTACACGCAGTACTGTCAAACCTCAAATGGTTTCTTTCTTCAGATGTTTTTCCTTGTACATGATACTAGTAGACACTTTTCTCTTTATGTTCGCTGATAGTGAAAGTCATAGGCAATAAAATACTGATGGTCAAAAGCAGTGGTCACCAATTGGTTAAAAAAAATCCGCCTTGGCCGTACAGCAGTATTATTTGGATTAGTTTTTAAGTGTTGCTACAGAGAATGAAATAACATGAATTTTAAACTTTGATTCTTTGAATTTGGAACTCAAACTTTCTTTGAAATGTGTGTATGTTTTCATAGATTGCAGTACTTTTATTATTTTAATGTATTGAATGATTCTCATAATAGAACAATACTCTAGAAAATTTTCAAAGCTAGTACTTTCTCCTTATAAATGTATAAAATTTTAATCTTTTTACAAATTTAACTGTACCTGCTGTACTTATTGTAGATTCAATGATACAGTCAAGTCATAACTCAAGGATTTATGAGTTTGGGATTACTGACCTATTTTCTTCATATTCAGTTCACATCAGTATTTGTGAGTTGTTTGTTTAGCTTTTCAGTCAACCAAAAAATATTCTTTCAAGAAGGTTCCATTTTTATCATAACTATTTCAACATAATCAACATTGAAACAGGTCTGCCATGTTAAAAAGAATTTAAAGACTTATCTCTGAAAATAGTACCCAGAAATGCAGATGTTCCCAGTAATGTAGCTTCAAAAATAAAATGTATTGTTTATATGACATGAAATTCATAACTTTTGGAAGGGTATATTTATGAAAGCATAACAAATAAATTCTGTGCTGTAAAGAAGATCCACCAAAATTAAGCATATTGCACAGAAGATACAGAAACACATTATTGAATCTACTCTCGTCATTGACATTTTCAAAAAAACAAAATGCATATTGTAATATTAGGTACATGACACTTGCATGTTGATATGCCTATATACTTACAAAGTATTCATTGTGTACTTAGTGGCGCTTAAAATATGTCATGTACAACTCTTATAAACATTCTTACAGGGTTCCCATTTGCCCTTCATCTTTCAGTAAAGTCTTGTCAGAAAAAAAAAATGTCTGATAAATATGGAAAAATAAAATTTGAATTTTAGTTATCTGTTGGACACTAATGAATTGTCTATTCATTTAGCATATTTTTTAGTCTTGAGAACAGACATTGAAAGATGGAACGTTCTTTTTTCCAGTGACATGTTATAAAAGATGATAAAAAACATACTTCTTTATGTCAAACACATTAATCTGAACACCTTTTCTCAACTGCATACATTATTCATACGTTTTAGTTTTCCTCAATAATGCCCATTTTCCTTATAAATTTCTAAATGGAAATTTTAAAAAATTAAGCAGCAGTAAATTAAATGTTATTTTATTTGTACAACATTTAATCATTACTCCTTGAATATGTGAACCTTGTAATACACCGACTACGAGGAAAAAAATGTTGCTGACTTAGGAAAATTTGCTTGAGATTGACAAAATTTCAAAACTCTGTAAAGGTAATTTTACATTCATTATGTGCGTTTACTAATGTTGACTAGGAACAGAAGCAAAAATACCTAAACCTATTTTTTTTTTAATTTTTACACTCTAACCAGTATTATATATTTCAGCTACCTAAGATAATGCAATTAATATCCATCCTAAGCTTATACGAATAAGAATTTGAGATAAGCTTTTAAATTTATGGAGGATTTTCTTTGTGTCTTTGGAAGTTCACTTACCGTAAGGTATTTTATAGTCTACTTTAAATAACAGATTTTGTTATACAGGGTAAGCCAAAGGCTGTACAAGAATTAGTGTCATTGGGTCTGATATTTGTGTTGGACCATGAAATATTCCATTAAAATTTATCTGTAAATACAAGGCAAGATTTTGTATCTGGTTTATTTTATTAAATAACATTTTATTTTATTTATAATCCATGTTTTTCCCAGAAAAAGAAGCCCTGCATTACAGGTTAGAAATCTGACACTGTATCAAAGATTAGATTCAGCACATCTGAAAGGAAATGATGAAATTTGAAGTAACATATTTGTAGACATGTTCTTTTCTCTCCTTTTTTAATGGTGCTCAAAATACCCACTCTTAAGTGGCATTACAACTATATACATATATAGAACCCATGGTTCGTAGATAAACCAACTTTTTGTTTTCATAGCAGCAATTCTTATTTTGTCAAAATATTCTATGGCATTTCTAAAATTAAGGAGTGACACTGGAAATTCTTTTTAATACAATTCACTAAAGAATACTGTTAAGTCAGAGTTCTTAATAATTGTATAGTGGCTTTGGTACATGAAAAGGATCTTCATTATATGGCAATACGGGAATAATGCTAGGATATAACAGTATACACCTTTAAACCAAGAAGTTCAAGGAAATGCATAGTTTTTTAAAAATTTCAAAGCAAACTTCATCTGTTTTGTAAAATTTAAGGACCTTTTTTATCCTAATGTTTTGAAACCTAGCAAATATAGAAATGTATCAAGAACAGATTAAAAGGGAAAAGCAGGTTTCCAGTTGCATTTTCAATACCACTTAGTGCTGCTCTAGGTAACATGTCATTTAATCAAAGCATAACTCTTATATGTCAAATCCATCCACTACATTAACTATATCATGAACTTGATTATAGAGTTTTATGTCCTCACCTTTAAGACCTATTAATATAATTACATTATTCTTCCAAATAATGTACAATTTCTGCATTTTAGGCATTCCTATGCTTGAGGAAAAATTGGAGAAATCCAGTAGTTTAAAAAAAAAGTATACTTATGAAATAAATCTTATGACAAACTGAAAAACAAATAAATGACTTATCTTTCAACCACTGTTCATGATCTCAAATTTGATTGGTATTTTTCTATGTTAATTTTATGCATTAA